GGATGGTTTTCTGGAAAAAACAATGCTTAAGTTAGAGGAGGTTTTCTGGAAAAGCAGCTGCCCAAAAAGTAGCAGCCCAAACACTGTGTGGCCACATGCTCTTCCAAATTGGAACTGTGTTTACCTGAGTATGTCTGCTTTTCTGTTTCACCCAAGTCATTTTGCTCGTGCTTGTCTTTTCTGTGTGCTTATACCTGAATGTGTGTGCTTGTGCCTTTATCCAAGTGTCTCTACTTGTGGCTATATGTTTTGCAAATTACTTTCTTCAAAGGATGTGTTTTAGATGCAGTTTTGAATATTTGCAAATCAAAAAGTAGAGCGAAAATAGGAAAAACCCTTAGTGAAGACCAACCTAAATAAATTTAGGTTGTACCTAAATCGAATTTACATTTACAAACCCATTTACACTTTTTGCCACCTAAATTCATCAATTTACGTAAATCCAAAAAATGTAAATTTACTAATTTCGGTGACTTAGGGCACTGCGGTGAAGTACCTGGGGCAGTTGATGGTTTCAAACACGGGGATGTCATTCGTCTCACGTTTAATCAAAGAATCTCAAGAAAATGTAAGACAACAGTCGCATGTCTGCAGCCCAGTCAGCACCTATTTGTCCATGCGCAACTGCCTTATACTGATCTTCCTGCAATTCACCTGCGCATGGCGAAGGTCCCGCATAATGTAGGCAGTGGGCAAGGCCTGCGACCAGCGGGGTTCGTACTATTACCGTAAACACACATGGAACCAACTGTTAAAAACATACCAAGGCAGCGATTGCCGTTTTGATCCCGATGGCCTGCTTTGCGGCAGCAAAAGCAGCTGCGTGTCCATCGACCAACAAAGTCTTCACCATCTCTCTGAGCAATACACCCTGTCCCTCATAGAACTGGAAAAGTGTAACCAAGCTGCAAGCCATGCTGACGGTGTTCTCCACCGACAACCAGAAAGCGGCCAAAAGCAGAGTCTCGCTGGCAGGCAGTTTGAACTCTGAGATATGCTTTTGTTGGGTATTGAAACCAAGCGCAGAATTGAGAAGGTCCCTGGTAATGACTTGTTACCTGGGACGCCTTTTCAACCTACCTATACCAAATAGCGCGTGGCAAGTGCGCGGATACGGCAATTATCAGGAACGATGCTTTGGCTTGGTGTATAGCACGAAGTAGTATGACATCACATTCCTGATAGCGCTGGCATGTTGTTAGAAACAAACGTGTAAACAGCTTTTGCCAGGCAACCGCCTGTCCATCGGTCTGAAACTTCCACTTTCAAGAGCAGCCTGTTGCAGTGCCCGTGAGCCACCCAACGAACCTCCGCATCCCCATCAGGTTGTATGGAAGCGATCTTGTTGATCTTTCCAGAGCATGCAACGGGCAGCCAACGTCGACAATCCACTGCTTCAAGAAAGCGCACAACCCCTGCGCTGATTCAAAATGGACCTCAGGGAGTAGGGCTCAAAAGCCGGCAACTTCACGCGTTGAAAAACCGAAAAAGCGGGAACCGCTACTCGTTTGTGCCCCTTTAACGAGCCTGAGCTTTCCTTGTATCCACTTGCTCCCAGTTTGTCGAGTGCGCCCGCGGCATGAGCGTCAAACGAGGTGCGGATATAAAGACTAAGACCAACGGTTTTGAAGCACTCATGAAAGAAAAGCCCCTCAGTGTCCATTTAGGTTTCTCTACAGGCAGCTCGTGATATTAGACGAACCATTTGCTATCTTGTCATTTGGAAGCTTCTGATATGCTTGTGTCGTGGTCAGCATTTCAGGCTGTCCAATCAGTCTCACTCGTTGCCTGACACCTCAAGCGGTTACAGGCTCTATCTCGTTTGGACTCTGCTCGGCTTCTTCTGCTCTGCTCATTCTTAGAGCCTGAGCGTAAAAAAACAGAACAGAGATCAGAAAATGATGCAAAGGCCTTGCCATCCTGATTATATAAATCTCTTTTGTATTCTCTTAATACAAAGCAACCAATTACGCGACGCAGTTTTTTTACCTATGCTTATTGCCCTCCACCCCCGCCTCTTCATGCTAGAGATCATCAACTTGTCACGCAACCACCCACCTATGTTTATTGCCCATGTTTTAGATGTTCCTAATTCCTGATCAATTATAGCAGTAACAGACCAGTAAGGTCACATTATACCTACTATTCCCTCGTACCCCGCCACCCCACCCCCACAAATTTTACAGCATGTTTTCGGAACATAGTCTCTGAATACATCGAAATAGTTTCTGAATACAACGAAATAGTTTCTGAATACGACGAAATAGTTTCTGAATACGACGAAAATAGTTTCTGAATACAACACAAAAAAAGGTCTCTGAATCCGCTAGTTTCTGAATACAACGAAATAGTTTCTGAAGACTAGTTTCTGAATACGACTTTGTTCACATCTCCCTGTCTGACACAAGAGGCATGTTCAAGGATGTACCCCATTGGCCCAATGACGCATTCAAAAGCCTGAGTTGAAATTTTGTACCCTTGACAAGGCTGGGCAATCTGTTGTTTTGATAGCTTGTCAATCCATGTGACACATAAATGAATCTCTGCAGTGGCAGTCCTGGGCCCAGCCATTCGCAAAGGCTTCAGGGGGCCGCGGGCGCAGGGTTTCCAATCGCATAGCAGCAGATCGTTTGGCTTGGTTGTTGGAGCAAGCGTAGGCCTTTCGGCCATACCGTGCTTGAAAAAGTTGGACGATGCCAGCTTATTGCAAGATGGCAAGCCCATAGCTCCAATCTTCTTACCCTCTGGTAAGGGACTTCTCACGAGATCCACAGAGGTCTTCTTGAGCAACAATTTGTTCAATTGTTTTTTGGCCAAATTTGCTCCACATTGCTGTTCCAGGCACCGCGACTAGGTAGTCGGGACAACCCTTCCTCCGCCGCTTCCTGTCCTTTGTGCTCCGGGCCACTGGTGCCCAATGCTCTGGTCAACACATTCACGTCAGGTTCAGGGTCTTCTTCGTCAGGTTGAGGCGCTCGGGCGTCACATATATGCACTGCCCTTGCAGACATCAACAGCCACGCAGTTGCAATCGAGAACGCGGTTCCTGTTGTTTCAACATCCTTGCATCCTGGTGGTCAGGGCCTGAACATGCGCGGCACCCTTCAGTTGCAAGGAGGCCGTACGGTTCCTCCTTGTCCTGCTGGACTCGACCTTTGCGAGGGCACTGACATGATCGTGCTCTGACTTCTTCAATTGGCCTTGGCAGTCATCCTTGAATTTGCGGTTCCATACTCAATTGGCTGTTATAGCTTGGAGGAACACCACGTTCAATATCGTTTCTGAAGGCAGCACAGTGCGACGTGGCCCAAAGAACGCGCGACGTGGCCCAAAGAACATACTCGACACGTGTCAGGTATCGGTATGCCTGTTCGAGGCAATCGACAAAATGAGAGGACTGCCAAACATACCGGATTTGCTGAGATAGGTGTTCATGGCTGTGGAGAAGAACACGTGCATCGACAAGTAAGCAATGGTGTAATAAACACGCAATGACTTATTCCTTTTTGCCCGGCTTGGAACGGTTGCGACGCAATCAACGTACCATGCATGTCTTCCAATCCGTGGACAATCTTCCCCTCTGCAAAGGAGGCTTTGAAAGCCGGCCAATGGAATGTCCTTTCGCCAATCACAGTGAAATTTGCTTACTGCGGGGAAGCGTCGGCGATGTTGCTCTTGAGCCAGATCTGCGAATTCCTTTGTCCAAATATGCCCGCCCTCTCTGGGATGACACGGCATCATTATTGGCATGAAGGATTTAACTTTCTCGATCGTTGACAAAGCCTTCCACATACAGGACAAGTCCCACAAATCCCCAAACGTAGCCTTCCAAGTCGACTTTGAATGTGCAGTCAGCTGAGAATATAAGCTTTGCAGGCTTCATTCCACGAGCGCTGATGGGAAAGCTGAAAGGAACAGAGTGTAGCTGAGCACGACAGCGGACTGTTGAAAGGTAGCCACAAACTGTTGCAAACATCCAGCAAACAGGCGCTTCTTGTTGCGGACTTTCCCTGTTTTCAAGCCCTTCTTTTCTCAAACTCTTCAGACTAAAACCTCTCAGTTTGGCCCATGAACTAGCCCATCTCTCGCCCAGCTCACGTCTGACAGTTTTTGGGGGTGGCAACACCATCCTTGTCGAAGAGCTCGTTGATGTGGACCTTTGCCGCATTCTCCCTTTCCGCTGGGGGTCTGCGGGCTTTCTTGAGATCACCACCGCACTCACCACTTTTTGGGATGGTCAGCTTGTATGACCTCTCAACCTCTCCATTGAACTCATAGAGACGCGGGCAGTCAACGTGCTCGTTGCAAGGGCAGGTGGCAAGGGTCAGGTTCTGCTTCTTGGCGTACTTCTGGCCACAAGACCACAAGCACGCACATGCAGCCACATCTGGTCCCGGCCACATCCTCAGAAGTTACTTCTACCCACTCATGTTTTAGCGCCCTGGCGCAGCCATATTGGAATTGTGACTCGCTCAAACATTATGTCCTGCAGCCGGCACCGTGCTGAAAAGTCATGCATGTGAATGACACAGAAGATCCTTTTACAAAACAGATTGGCAATGTTTCAAGCACAGCGGCTCTCTCACAAGCAAATGTGTGGCAGTTTTGGCAATGTGTTCTCTACAAGTTAGGGGAAAGGAGCTCACTTTTTGATCGTGTCAGCCTAGCTAGATTCTGTCAAATACCCATGGAATCGAATACGAGTACTGCACTGCTGCCACACAAACAACATCAAATGCTTAATCCTGACCGCCCCGCCTTTGGCATTGGCGAGAGCTCCCAGAGATGGAGCCAGAGGGCTTCAAGGTGAAGATACAAAAAGTGAAATTACCATCACCCAGTGTAGTGAAGACACACGTCACATAGCGGTGGCTAAAGCCCCCAAGAAGTGGCTAAAACCACAAGGACAGAGTTAAGAACCCCTTGGACGCGATTAAGAACCTGTCTGAATGCCTGGATCTAAGGGGCCTTGCGGCCTTTCTTTTGCAAGGCCAAGAGACAACGCGTCAATGGCCCATTGCAGAATGCTGCTATAGTTGCCTGTGGCAATGTGTGCAATGGTGCTCAAACAGGCGCTCCCACCAAGATCAATTCCCATCGTGAATTCAGGAGGAATCAGGTATACACATAAATAAACGGTTATTCCAAACATATATATATATATCCGTGTATAGTTATTAGATATCATTAACATATATTGTATATACACCGACACCTTTTGCAGTGTATCCCCTTGACAGTGCAGGTCAAAGAAACCAAAGACTGCCCAAGACGCAACGTTCTGCGGTGTTTTTGGGGGATCGGAGAACCGGTTCCCCGATGCCACCCAGTTGTGTGGTGACAGTCTGCTAGACCCAGGACCACCCTGACGATGGGGTGGTCATGGGACGGCGTCCCCCTGACCTGACGATGTCTTTTCCTTCCAAGGACGCTACCCAGCTCATGGTGGTGGTGCTGGTCTATTCCAGATGGTGGTGCTGGTGCTGGTCGTGCTCTGTTTCTGTTTCCAGAGGACATGGAGTTCACGAGACCTATACAAACGATGGTCATGTTGAATCCCAACGAGAACTACATTCAAAGGACGCTCCATCCCAACAAGCCCCACCAATGATGGCGTGATGGGAACAACGTGAGCCAAGTTCCGCCCCAGTTCTAGTATCTGGCCTTGTCATATGTTATGTTTCAGAAGTGGTGTTGTTAACTACAAAAGAGTCTTAGGAGTAGTTCCTCTTTGGGATTTCTACTTCATAATGGCATGCCTTGTTCTTTGCTCGCATCCATCTTCAGATCCGCCCGAGTCAGTCGTACATCGCCACTCGCCTGCGGGGACCAAGGGATAATCCGTGAGCATCACAACCGTGCCTGTGACCTGCCACTGCCACCGCTGCCGGCATCGTTTCAAGGGTGGACACTCAGGCTTTGGTCCCGCGCAAAAAGTGGGAGTTTCGACAGCTGCGGCAGGTGACACAGATCCGGAATAACTCACCACCTGGTATGGAAATGGAAGATATACATAGATATACTGTCCATTGTCTTTACATGTCTTTGCAGCTGATATGGGTCCATATCACTGTGCCATTGGAGGCCTCATGTTCCACTGGCCCATGGAGACCAAACCATCTTGGCACAGTCTCGGTTTCGGATAGCACATCTTGGCACTGCCGGCAAACCAAAGCTTTCAGGCACAACATGGTGCTGAGTCATCAGTCAGTGAACAAATCCCTGAAACCCATCTTACATACTCCACAAACTCCACTACATCTCCTATAAATAAACATGCTGCCCCCTGAAATGGCTACCTTTCTTGCCTGGTTTGAAGACATTGGAGTGTTTTCTAGACAGCATGTTGAATCTTGAATCTTGTTTCCAGGTACCTGTTGGAAAACATGCCACAGCAACCGTTTGCAAAAGTTTGCAATGGCTGACCGGCCCCCAAACATGGCACAATATGGATCAAATTATGAAGAACGTTGCCACAATAGAAGCCGTCTTTCAATGCTTGATAGTCCTTTTAATCAGATACTGTCAGAATCTGTTCGAGTGGCTGATTCTTTTTCAACTTGAACAGCATCATTCTATTTGCAATCCTTAATCTTCAAGTGCCCTTGATTGTAGCCTTCTTCAACATCATATGGTCCTGCATGACCCCTCATATATGATCATTCCTAGCTCATTGAAATGCTGCTTAAGCAGTTATAACATGTTATAACTTATAGGCTCTCCATACATCCAACTCATGAGACCGACCTGAAGACCGACCGTCCCGCCTTGGCCAGGCGCGAGCCCAGCTGGGCATAGGAGTCGGTGTCCGGAGAGCCATACATCCAACTGCCGCCGTGGGTGTACAAGGTCCTGACACGAGACGAAGCCGCTCCACCCGCCCCACACGCCGCAGAGACAGAGCGGGGTGCCGGTCTGTCTTCTGCGGTCGCACGGTGAGACACGCGTATAGGTTTTTGGGTCACAGGGTGAGACACACGCAAGGAAGAGAGCTTCGCTGGTGCAGCGGTGACGACGATGGTTGGGTATGGATGGCCCCATGGCCCAGGAGGAATCAGAGTCCAAGGACCCGCAGGCCGCCCTACAGACAAAGCTTGTGCTGAGCTGGAACTGCCGAGAAACTTCAAACAACAAGCTATTGTTCATACTGGCTCAAGGCAACCACAAGAAGTTTGAACCGTAATGGTTTCTAACCAAACATGAATGAGACTGGGTCGAAACAGGGTTGCAACAATGTAAGACCCAATATCAAATTGTCATAGTTTATGTTATAGTCTGTTACAGTACTGTATGTTACAGTCTATCAAGCTGCATGTTCAGTCAGGAGGCGTTTAGTGAGTCCATGTGTGAAGGCATGTGAAGAACCTTCTATCCTTCTATCATCTCTCTGGACCATGGATCTGAGCCCGTTTTCAACCCACAACCATTCGATCCAGCTCCTCCAAATCTGGCAAAACAATGACCATTGACCACGCGGACCGTTCGCGCAGCTTCCGCCTGGGCGTGGAACAGGTGGCGCCTTCGGGGAGCCAAAAGCTGTCTCTGCCACGTGGGCCCTGCACGGTGTCCCAGCAGTTCTCCTGCACCGTGGTCAACCAGTTTGACGGGTGACGAAGAGTGACGAAGAAGGATGGTTTGACGAGTTAGCCCCGCTGCAGGGCCTGAGAAAAGGTTCCTTCCATCCAATGTGGGAGGTCGTCTGAATCAAGAGAGTACTACGTACGGATGTCTGGACCTTCTTGATTCGACGGAGGCCGAGGAAAAAACAAACACGGTGGGTCATGCACGTTGGACCTCTGGACATCTGTGATGACAAACGGCCCACTCACTTTTTGAGGCCACTGACGTTCACCTCTGAATCTTCCTCTGGTGAACAAATGTAAATTGAAGTGACGTCAGTGGCCTATGCCATCCCTTTGGGACGGTGAAGGCTCTCTAAAACCCCAGATGCCTCAGCTTCTCGGTCTTCATACTGCACAGCATCGGACGCTCCGTCGAATCCGAAGGTCGGTCGGTCTCCTCGGTGCAATTCCAGTGCATGCCCTTCCTCTGAAGAGTCTTCCGCGTGACGCCAGGGGCAATCTGTTGATCCATACAGCAGGAGGTGTTCTTCACAATCCTCAGGAGAAAGACTTCATACACGCTATGGATCCAATCACCTTCTCAAGGGTATGGAGGGACCTGGAGTACCTGCCCGCTGTTCTTTACACAGAACAAACATCTTTTCCCATGCACTTCTGTACCCAAGGATTTGGAGGAGGTCCTCATTGAGCAGGTTCAACTCTATCAACCAGGACTGGTGACATTCAAAAGTGTCTAAAGAGAACACAAAGGCTAGTCGAATCATGTCGAATCTAGTCGACACCTGACCAAATAATCCAGCATTTTCAAAAAGTTGAATCCAATTCTATGACATATATCAAGATGTGCGACACACATCCATCGAGCATCGTATTTCATCTTTCTCCGATCCACCAAAAAAAATACGGGTCACCATCACCTCCATCAGACGCGATAGATTTCGAGCCTACATCGGCCCAGGGTCTTGCCATAACAACAGGCGGTGGCCGGAGACAGCAAATGGAGATCCTTGTGGCCACTGAGCTTGCACTCCTCCGGCTCAGTCCTGAGGGGATCAATCGAACGCGAAAAGCACTTTACGGTGGACGCAACAAACACGTATACTACCCACTGATCCCACTGTATACCCACTAGACTCCATGGAATCATCACGGAAGTGGATGGCATGGCCCCATGGATGACCATTCTTTGCTCTGCAATACGTTTTTTCTCAATTCCATGATGATTCCAGGAGTGGAGACAGCCACTGGAGACAGCCACTGTCGCTTTTCGCTTTTCCACGGCGTGAAGCCAACGTATCGAAGGAAACACAGAAAGACTGGGATTGGCGCCAGTCCAGTCGACTTCGAAGGAACCCCATATGGCGAATTTTATGCGTCGCTTCTTAAGAACCTTCTCTCTTCATTAGACCTTTTTCAGCCATGTAGACGCGTGTAGACTTGCCTAATCAGGGCCTAATCTGTCTCTCACCTCCTGCCCGGTGTTTGTCTGGAGGAATCCCCCGCAAAAAGCGGACTCTTTGGATCTCTTTGGAAGACTCCTCCATAAGCTACTACTGTATACAGTAGAGTAACAAAGGGCATCGCCGCCATCACGGAGCGTTCGAACGCGGAAAGAACGTCTGCGTCCCCCCGTCTCCGCGCCTCCCCGCCAGGTCCGAGGCCAAGAGCACGGAACCTGGGGCGACCGGTGGACCGGACCGGCATGATGGTCATGTGGGGGATGTGGGCCTAAGTGACCTGAGGATTGGCCAGAGCCCAGAAAATTCATTGGCCAACATGGGTCAATCTCCAGGATTTCGACTGGGTGCCATCCCCAACCCCCCACCTTCGGCCCAGGGACAAACCCACAAAAATCAATGCAAGTGAGTGAGTGAGTTTCCCGGCGGCAGGAGGGGACCCGTTCGATCTTGACGACCCCCACAGCTGGACGGTTTTCTCGAGAAATCGTTGGACAAACTTGACTATAGACAACGGGATACAGGTCTAGAATTGATCGACAGCTACAGCACAACAAATATAGTTTTAAATATATTATTAGGGATCCGACGGATTCTGATGGTATCATGTGAATGTACTATTCTATAACAAAAGTCATATATATATATATACACACACTAGATCACACACTAGTAATTAGAAGCTACTAGGTGGAGGCCATCGCTATTAGGTTGGCCATCGCTACTAGTAACAAGAAGCTACCAATTCTTATTCTAGCTCTTCCAAACACGCCCTGTCAGCACCTGCGTTCCAAGCTGCGCACCGTCCGCGGCCGTCCGCGCGAAGGCTTCGCAGAGCCCTCAGAGGCGGTGCGGCCGAAGATTTTTGCATCACACATAGAAACATGTAATAGATTAACAGAAATCAAGCTTTAATAAGCTTTAAACATGTTGAGAAAATGAGAGCTTCTGACCAGGGAGCTCTCATTTCATATCAGACTCGATGTCATCAAACTCCTGTCAAGGCACTAATAAGCAGCTGGTCGCCAGCAGTACAAGCAGCAGCATGCTGCTGCCGCCGCGCCGGCCACTCTTTGGCTGCATTTGGACTCAAGGCTCTTGACCAAATCACAGGACACAGCGCCAACTGTTGTCCAAGCAATGTCTCCTCTTTCAACCGGTTTCTTGCAAACATGTCTGTGCGGATCAAAAGCTGGAGACCCACACTTGCCTATGACAACGTGGACATCTCTGGTGGTCCATGAGGGTCCCGTTTTCGGGGCGGTTCAGGTCTGTCTATCTGGGTCGGGTCTGGTAGGTAGGGTCTATCCAATTCCGTTCATCCAAGAACGTCCTTTACATGGTGTCCTTGTAAAGAAACATTGGCCTTCAAGTTGTTGGTTTGGCCAATGCAATAGGATGAATATCTGAACCCTGTGGGCTGCAACCATTTGAGCCGAAACGACCCAGTGACCACGGATGGACACAGCCTGGTCTGGTTCGTCGCACTAGTTGGGTTTGGTAAGGTAGGTGACTGGTGGTCAGAACAAAAACACAAAAGACATCCAAACAGTTTCACCGGGACACAAACAAGGATGGTGAAAGAAAAGTGGATAACACCAAATCTTTCTGCAACTTCTTTTCGGGATATACAATACAAACAACATACTGGTGCCAAACAATAAGAAGCTAGTGGGACCTGCAACACACACCATCTTATTTAGAACACATCTACCAAAACTGTGCAAGGTCAACAGTGGATCTGCGAGCTTGGATCTACCAAACGATTCACAACCAAGAACCTCAAATCCAAAAACTCCGCATACAAAACAGTTGGAAGAGCAATTAAATGTAGTAGAAGAGCTGAGTGGATGATTTGCTGCGGCCCACGCGCGCATCTGCTGCCGCGACCGATTGGGGTTCTGGACTGATGCGAGGGTCGCCCGATGGCAGGCAGAAAAGGTCGGTGCCAAACCCGTCCTGCTGTCCAGCCGTCGCGCTTGACACAAAGTGGATGTAAATCGGGAGGGGCACACGGGGCACACGGCTCTTCTCACTACCCTGACGCGAGGAACGTGGTCTTGATACAAACAACACGCGCGTAGCTCTTGACAATTGAGGCTCCAATCTCAAAACCGGGCTGCCAAATTGAACACCTGGTTTCCCAAATGCAGTAGTCAGCCAGCTCTATGCGTGAGAAGCTCATGAGTACACAGCTGACGAAGTAGTCCAGGTTCTTGCAGTGTTGTCTCACCCTACATAGATCTATATATTATATATAGGTGACAGGGGTGCATGCTTCCGTTCCAATAGTATTATTTTTTGGGGGGAGTCCTTTATATGCGTACACTATGACTCACTGTACTGCGTGTGCTCCACATGTTGTTTGCTTTCCTTCTGTACTTCGGACTCCAAGCAGCAAGGAGGCACGTTCAGCCGAGGAACTCCTGAGAACTCTCAGTTTAACTCGTTGCCTCTCGTCAGCTGACGAGGTCCAACGAAGCTTGCACCAGACTGCGTTTCCAATGGCCCACGGAGCACCGTGTGTGCCTCATGCTGTCTGACCTCCATATTTCACTTCCTCCCATTAGGCATGCTGTTTGGCCCATTGGTTCCACCACTTATTGATCACACACTCTCCTTCGTTGCAGCCATGCGTCATCCGGGTCTGCAGCTTTCTTCTTGTTTGTGGCTTTCATTGACATTCTCACGGCTTTGGGTGTGGCTGCCGGATGACGCTGCACGTGACAGCATTTGTGGCGCAGCAAAACCTTGAACACCAAGATTTGAGCCAAGCTTGGGCTCTTTATATATTTTTTGTGTATGTGTGAGACCAAACGCATGAATTGAATGCATACTGTATTCAGTACCTGACCCCCTCAGTTTTCCTGGAAACTTAAGGTTATGTAACCATTTGCCACCTGTTCGTTGTTAGCCCCTCTCAAAAAATATCCACTGATGGGGTTTCCTGACAAGGGATCTGTTTGAATGGATCTGGTGCTTCTGAACTCAGAACGATATCTTTTGCCTGCTAAGTCTACACCAGCACGTTACGTTTCTGTCCGCAAGAAGATGTTTTTGCAGGGACTATAGAACTTCTGCAAAGGGTCTTAATCACATTTAATCACCAACCCGCCTCAAACATCAGAGGGTGGGAAGTGCTTGGTGATTCGGGGAATAACGGGCTGCCCCACAGTTCGGGGGCACGGCTCCTTCCGATGGCAACAGGGCACGGGCGCCGCGCCCTCGCTCTTCGCATGGCCTTGTGGGGGGTCCAAGTTGGGTGCGAAGTCGCTGTCGAACCGTCGGAGAACACAGACCTATGGATCCCACGGATGTCAGCCCAGACCTATGGATCCTATGGCCCCTGACGTGTTTGAAGGATTCGATCTTCCAGTTCAAGGGGAGGCGAGGCCACCCGTGGCCACTGACACCTTGACGAGGTCAAGACGGACGTCCGACCCTAGACAGGGGGCCGCTTCAGCGGCCAGCCACGAAGGTTTGGATCAGCCTCCCACTGAAGTGAAGCACCGTGGGTCCTCACCATCCAAAATTGAGAGCCAGCAAAAACGCCGATGTTTTTGATGGGATGAGCACTGCGAAGCGGCCCATCTAGGATTGAAAAATCCCTGACAAGACCGATGGGACTGGCATATTTACCTACATTGACCCCTCAAACCACCTGAATGTTAGTAAATCTGCCAGTCCCATGGAGTGTCAGGGAACGCACCGAATCCCTGGGCGTCCGGTACTCTTCAAGCATTCGTTGGCATCGGTCATGGTCATGCAATCCTTCACCTCCCGCGCGTGCAACGCAACATGCGGAGAATGCGCAAAACGGCCAACATTTCATGGGAGACTGCGTCAAGAGATGCAGTGATCCTATTGAAATGAAGCTAAAGCAGCTAAAGTATACAAATGCATACAGTATACACTCTGAACCAACCAGCTCCGGAAATGTCCATATCGTAAATTAAGTAGGGAATCTTACAGTAACTTGAGAGCTTCTATAGATTCCATTGAAGGAACATCATTTTTGAAAATTCTGGACACTTTGACTAACTAACAATGTCTCATCCAGGATGAAACGATCGCCGTGAGTCTCTGCACATGCATGGTGACGCTGAGACCGATGTGTGGACTCTACCACAAATGCCGACAAGAAATGCTACAGTAGGCCTTTTTCTACTGCCAGTCATGCAAACCTGCGTTAGGTCTGACTTAATTTGTTGCATCCCAGTGACCAAAATGATCAGCATACAACAATGACACTCCGAGTCACCAGCATGGAAATGGAACATCACCTCTTAGTAGAGGATCTTATGGTCATCCAACGGGCCATTTTCCCATCCATTTCGATCGTTTCAGGGAGTGTAAGGCCCGCAGTCGTTTCATGGAACTAGTGGTAACCTTCTGTCCATTTGCATCGCTTTTCCTCTTTGGTCGATGGACAGAAGATTTGGACAGAAGTTGTGGGGACATGGGAGGTAATCTCAAACACCATTCTTTTGTCGCATATCTCTCCGATTTCTTCGATCTGTCAATGAATGGTGTTTGTCCTCTCCTTTGCCCGACAGTATATATCTCTGCTGGAAGATGCTGTCGTCCTTTGGATCCACTGCCACCCTCTGAGAGAGTGATTGGAGACACCTTTATGTAGGCGCCAGGAGGGTCCAGTCGTACCTGAGAAGGTGGTGGATCCCTAAATTCTGCCAACTCTGAAGATCGTTTGGTGCTCCAGTGGTGGGCCACCCAGTGATGACTCACTTCCCATCCCGGTTTGCTTCTGAGGGTCCAAAATCCAACATCACACGAGATATCGCGTGATGGAACTCCAGTCGCACGTGTTGGCGGCAGCCAAAACTATGGGTTAGTCTCCTTGTACTGTGCAACGACTTCAAGGAGAAAAAAACAAGGTATAGGTAAGTGAGCATTTGTTTCGAAAGGGACCTCCAAGGATTCATGAATACTCCCAAGGAACCCTCAAGCAATCTGAGCCTTGACGAAACAGAAGCTACGGGAACTAACTGTGACCCAATACGTGGTTGCCAAAGTTGAAATTTGGATGTCCCCAAAACTAGCACAAAGGACCTTTTGCCTTCATATGAATATATCTAACATGCAACTTTAAACTCACCTGTATGTCTCACCCCAAAACACAGCCCACTCCACCCATGACACCTCGGACGGACCTCGCGCCGGACGGATCTTGCGGCGTGACGTCTCAACCACTCCGGTGGGGCCGACGGGGCCGACCGCGCCTCTGACTCCAAGGGCTTCTCGTGGCATTTGGGAGGCCCCGTCTTCGGGGAGGTTTGCCTCGCTAAAGGGAATGGAAGAGCCAATTTGTGGAGAAAAGCACATGTTGACCACCAACCAAAATCCGTATTACCAGTCTTAGACTTGGACCATATATTACATCATATGCTACTCTGGTTCTCTTTCTACAAATGAGTTGTTGGCTTATGTTGGCCATGCAAAGGGCTCCAATGGTCCGCCCTGCAAGCTTGGCTTGAGCTGTCATTGTGCTGAGCGCCACTGCGAGCACTCAAGCCACCAAGATCAGAGCAAGAGACTGAGAAGCAAACACCCCGAGGCCGCCACGTAAAGCCATACTGGCAGCTGATCTTGCACTCACACTTCTCATCTCCCACCTGAGCCCATGCAGATGTGCAGCAACGCACGAATCCGGCTAGACATGGAAGAATCTTCGAACACGCGCGCTTCTTCGAAGGGCGAAAACAATCAAACAGGTCGAACGGCTCTTCCTACCCCAGCCCCCCAAAATGAAGGAGTTCTACAATCCATGTCTGCAACCGGGTCGATTCATCAAGAGACGCTACTTCCATTGACCCCATGTTGACGACGCAGGCCGTGTTGTCAACGCGTACGGCGGTCTTTTTCGACCTCGAAGGGTATTCTTCGGGCTCTCGCGGGAGCTTTTGAGGAAGCAGTTCCAGGTCGCAAAGAGGAGTCGACGATGATCTTTTGTTAGGCATGTTTTTTAGGACACAAATCTGCATGGAATAGTATGGAATATTTTACATATTAGTATACGTAGTATATCATATATATATATATATACGTAGCTATACGTAGCTAATATTAGTTAATTGTTCAATTAACACAAATCAGAAGGGACTATCATAACATCTCTTAGCATTAATCATCCTTGTATGTCCTGGTGGTGGTACATGTTTCTGTCCACTCCTGAGATAGCCCTTCGCTATCCCTTTACAGGCTACTCGCACGGCCGACCTAAACACAATATCCACCTCTCCACCAAAAAAGGGCCAAAGACGGCCAAAGTGATTTCAATGCTCCGTTCGTAGCGTTCTTGTTCCTATAGTAAGGCCAGGAGCCCCGTTCGTAGCGTAAGAACACGCTCCGTTCGGTTCGCGATCCACCTCCACTGGTGCCGCACCCCCGCCTCGCAATCACAGCCCTCGACTTCGCGCCCGGTGCCCTCCACGCTGGGGCACAGTAGAGGTGGTGGCCTGGCGACATTGCCAAGTAAGTGAGGCAAAGTGAGCTGAACACATGGTGATGGTATTGGTTAGTATGAGGGGTATCGGTATTGGATGGTATTTAATTTGGATTCATGAATGATCTGGGGGATGAATCTTGCTGGTATGAGGGGGGGAACTTCGAGTCTCCCGTGTTCGGGTCTTGTGATGGGCGCCCATGCAATTGGAGACTGGCGCAAAGGCCCAAAAGGCCCAGGCAAATCACAAAACCCATAGCTCTCAGAAGAGATGAGATTGACTCTTCTGGATGTTTCTTCTACTAAGCAGGTGCTGTGTTTTTCGTGTGGATCCTCCACGGCCAGTACCGTGCACAAACCACCGAGACGCACTTGCCTCGACCAGCACGCGGGTGAGGAGCCTCAGCACCAAGACTAAGACTCGTGAGATCGAGAAAAGGAGCCATGCACCGTGCAACCAAACCCTTGGATCGAACTCCGATCACCAAGCGGTCCCACTTCGGGATCCCCAAGGGCAGAACTGGGTGTCCAAACTGCCAAACAAGTACAACATGGCTGCCATTTGGGTCGGCTATAGCTTGACCCCGACCCGTCCAGGTCGGCCTCGGTTTTCTCCTTGGGCGCCTCCGTGTGACGTTGGGTCCGGCTGAACCGTTCGCCCCCCGAGACATTGCTGCTATCCGGTCTGCACCACGTGGTCTGAAATCCACTCCCTAAGGTGCTTACAGTAAGTTTCAGGAGACGAAGCACTGAAGCACGCTTGCTGATCCAGAACACCTGACAATCAAAGTGACCAAGCAACAAACTTTGGATCCGAAGCAATTGGGAACCACCACTCCTTCTACCACAAACACCGTTATATAATTAAGTTCTCGCACTCACACTCCAATTGATTAACCTCAGCACCAGCGCTTGACGCGACTCTGCGGTGGAACGGTTCCACTGCCAAGAGGCCGTCAAACTGAAATCCGCCCACCTCCGGCTTGGCCTCGCAAGTCCTGGCAGTTGGCAAGTTCGTTTCGTCGTCCCATTGGCCCATGAACTAAACAGTTAGTCCGACGAAGGAGGAACAAGAAGCTGCTCGTAACAAGGGCATTGCTACAAGGAACCTGGGCATCGCTACTAGTAACAAGGGCATCGCTACTAGTAGCAAGGGCATTACTATAGTAGTACGCTACTGGGAATGAGGGACGTTTCGCAGAGATTCCTTTGGATCCCTCTCGTTTCGTGGCAGCATCCCACCGGTTTTTGACCATTCCTTAAGCATCTTAAGCGAGGTTCCCCTTCTTTGTTTCGGCTTCAAAGACTGTTCATGAAGGGCATGAACAGGGCATGAACTACGGTGCTACCACCCATTTTCCAATCCCCGGCGATCCGATCAAAGCTCGAGCTTCCTGCAAGACCACATAGCAACCGCAACCGCAAGCACAGCCGGTTGCAAAGGCATTCCATTCGTCCTGTCCTGTTTCCTTCAAGGCCGCCCCCAATGCGAACACTGTCACCATGGCACTTCACCTGAGGGGGGAGAGAAGATGGAGAGAAGGGGAAGGCGGAATTCACCTGAGTAAATCCGTTTTGCAAAATCTCAAGCCTCCACAGCTCCAACTTCCTTTAAATTTAGATCTTGTGAGGGATCCACTTCACCATATTTCACCCATCTCCACTCGAGAAGATCGGGAGCTGAGACCGGTCTCACGCAAACTGGTCTGACGCACCTGAGACCGGTCTCGGAGCCAACCGTCCGAGCCCGGTCCATGATGAGACCAACGCGAGGAGACCAACGCTGAGGTCTTTTTTTCGCGCGCAAAACATCTTCTGATCGACTAATGTGTGCAGGGACTGGGCAATGTGCAGGACAATGCCTTCCGGAGGTGATTTTGACAATAAGGGGATTATACAGTAATATAATATGTCAATGAGATCATCAGCACCTTGAACCTCATTGGTTGCTTCTGTGACTTCTACATATAATATGGGTTTGATGCTTTTTGTGGATGCACCAGCCCCCCCCCGTTTGATTGACTCCAAACCCCCGTGCCGGTGCGGACGTTCGGCGCTTCGGCCTGGCACCCGCAGGGCTGGGCCGTGGTGCCCGAAGGGTAGCACCTGTGGAGCCGGATGGGAAGTGACGTCGAAGCACCAAAAGCGGACTGAGCCGAGCCGGACCAAAAGCGGGCTGCAGAGATCTGTTCCTTCCGCATCTTCCACCCGCCCTGAGAGGGACAGAAACTGGTTCCCGAAGAGGTCCAGAAGCCAACGACCGGCGGACCGGCGTGCCCCATGGATCAGGTCGAGCAGTGCAATGACAGACTGCAGTGGATCCAGTACTGGATCAGCTTGGCCAACTTCACCATGACATTGCCGACTTGACTTGGGTGATGTGCACCAAATCCTCAAAGGGAAGAATCTGAGTTAGAAGGGACTCAAACAACACAACCAACCAAGCAAGGAACCATGCAAGCCAGCAAAGAAGCAAGCTAGCCAGCCAGCCAGCGAGCAAACGAGCATGCAAACACACGAGCAAGGGGGCGAGCACGCAAGCAAACACGCGAGCATGCAGGCAAGTTTACCAACACCATAGGCTCACATTTCGGTCATTGATGTTGTAGTGGTCCTGGTCCACTCATGACATGGCTTCTCAAAACAACAGTTGGAGCACCCGAAGCATTCACTGGGCAAAATATTCTCCCGAGATGGTCTCAACTCCACTGCGCATGGCCCTCATCTCTTTTTTAACCATACACAAATCAGTCATCAGAGTTGTCAGAGTGGGTAGAGCCCTGTGCCCAGTTGATCCGCCTGGAAAACGCGGGTCCTTGTGATGTTTTTTTCTTCGGGGTCCAGCTTGTGCAGCTCTCATGACCTAGCCATATGTGGGATTACTCAAGCTGAGATCCTCGTGGGCCACGAGACCAGCTGAGCAGCTTAGCACCATGGAACGACGTCTTAGCTGCAGCCCAAATGAGTAGTGCTGCGTGTGGCTTCCAGGGCGAAAGGATAGCTCTCCGGAAAAAGCGGATTTGGTGTAATCTGAGACCTTCAGTATAGTAACTGGGCATCCTGGCTTTTCGCAGTCCTGGGTTTCCAGGAAGCCAGTGTCGAAGTTATCTTCACCTCAGATATTCCAGTGAAAGACAACGTTGGGGTCTTAGTCGTGCAAAATGTATCAAAATGTCTCATCCCGCATTAGCATCCTCTATAGGGATCGAACATGCTCAAACTATCTCCATTTTGCAGGTGATCGGGATAGGTGTGATTGGCTCTGCTCCTGTTTTACTCTGCAAAGAGACTGCAATATTTCAGGGAGTTTTGCTATAACTAAGCTCGAACCAGCCCAGGCAGGAGCTCCGAAAATCAAAAAAAAAGCGTTCGCATTTAACATGTGACGAGGGCAGTCCAGCTCTAACCACTTTCAAAAACACCGAACGGTCCTGCCACCCTCGAGCAAACGGCATCTGATCCGGCACCGACATGCAGCACATCAAACGATCAAACGGTTTCTGGTGATCAAAGGTCCGCTGTTTCGGGGGGATCTCCGGCACCGAACGTTGAAACACGAGATCCGTGAACCGGAACAGCCCAAAATTGGGGGCCGTTCGGAGGTTCTCTCGGTGGACACCCTCGCAATGCACATCGGTGAAACACGGAACACCTAGTTCACCCGCCCCAATCCGGGTGTGACGTCTGAATCCGGGATGCATGGAGGCACACAGGTGGGCAAATCCTGCCATTCCTGATCAAGGCGTGCTACGTCGATTTCCTCCGGACATGGGGTGGTTGGGGGGTAGGTTGGGTGATGCCAAAACAGGTGCTGCCGCTTGGTGTGTGTGTAGACCAAACAGGAATGGATCAAACATGATCAAACCCCCATCGTTTTGAACCCATGTTCCTGGCACAACAAGGCTTCCAAATGTTATGAATACTTGATTGATCTTGACTGGCTCTTTAAGGAAGTCTTGATATCGGCACCTTTCCAAAAGAGAGGTCCACATTCAATGCATGGTGGTCGCTCATCGATCACAGTGCTTGGATGGGTTCTCTTCCCTTCGGAATCAATATATCCACCCTGGGGAGCTCTCAAATGCCTCGGGCCTATATTCGCCCCTGCTAATTGTTGCCCAGGGCTCCATGGTGGCCCCCTTGGCCTACTCAGCAGGATCTGTTATGATCGTTTACAGATTGAACACGGAATATTTGCAATCGGCCATGGCCCATCCCTGAGGGACCCCAACGGCGACCATCACTCGTTTGGCCACAGCGCAGGGCGATTGGCTCTCCTCGTGACGCGTGACGCGACGGGCTCGAAGGGAATCGTGTTTGGTCGGAATCGAGGATCGGAATCGAGGAGGATCTTCGGAGGTGCACAAGAAGAGCCGTAAGGATCTATCATTTGGTACAAGCATGTATATAAGGATGTCTAAGCCAAGTGTCTTATAGTATTTGGCGCATTGGCTGTGATTGTTTTTCAAAATCACACCTCTGGGCTTCAATGATAGCCAATGACCGGTAGAACTGGCTGTCATAACCTGTCTGGGCTTGGGTCTGTTTGTGCCAGCGCGTCCTCTGACTTCACCGTACAGGTGCTACTGCTGCGGCTCCAGCAACAGGGCTCGCCGGCCTGGGAGGAACCACGTGCAGACCCCTTCGGTCTAGGACGGCGGTTTCAACACGGCAGCAGGGTTGATGGGAATCGCTGAACATTCTTGAGATGGTATAACGTTCTATAACGTTCGATGGGAACAAAAGGGATATACTGAAAGGATGACCCGTTTTTTTTTGGCGAATCCGAATGCCAAACAAAACGTTGCGTCCTTCTCTTGGCCCCACTTCCATGATGATTCCCCGGGAGTGCAGAATCTGAGGGAGATGAACAGTTCCTGGCAGTGGCACGACACGGTCCCCAGGCTTACCTGAAAAACAAAGACATGCTTTTGGAGGGGCTGAGCATACGTGTCCTGTGACAAAGCAATTCGAAAAGGGTTCATTCTATATTTGCGTGTGTTTTAAAGAAAACACACACACACATGGTCACATGGTTGTGCCATATTTTACATATACATGGGATATCCTTTTTTGTCGAAAGATCTGATCAGAGTCCGACATCGTCGTGTCTCCGCGTTGGAGGTCGACCGCTCGACGTTCGGCCTTCTCTGCATCCGCACCACTGGCAGACTGTTGACTGGTGAGGCATTCTTTGTCCTGGCGTTGGTGAAGAATGGGAAGTGCTTCAAACAGCTGGTTATTCCTTCCAAAGTCATGGACCACTCAATGATATACTTGTAACATCTTGTAACAACAATCAGTGCACAGTACAGGAGTCCAAAACGTGACGGATGTTGAACTGCGGGTTTGCTTCGGGGTTACAGTCAATGGACTCAGTTCAAGGCATCAAGCAACTCCTGTTGGACCCAGCAAATCAACTTCGAGGTCAAGCGACCAAATACCACCGAACATGCCTCTACAAACAGCACATGTAAGCTGCTGGAACTTCAGAAGGATCACCATCCTTTACATGTTCCTCTGTGCGCATGTCCACCAACAGAGTGTATCCAAACACATGGCCATGAGCACAAGGCTTCCAAAGTGCAAGGGCACGCGGAAACCTGGCGCCTGCAGTGGAAAACCCCTGCTGGTAGAGGAAAGTCGTCTTGGAAGCGACTCCCTCCCCGCTCCATGGAAGGTAAGTCGGAGGAGCCACGGGTGGAAAAGAGGGCGCCACGATTGGTCAAGGGAACGTTCTTCACTTCCATGCTCCGATTGGTATCCCAGTGTTGAGCCGATTGGTCTCCCGGTTGTTTTCTACATTTTTGTTGGTTCGACTTGGTGTGTGAAGCAGCCAGGGGGAAAGAAAACAAGAAGAAACACATCACCGGATGCTGTGACGTCCACTTCTGTGGAGGAGGCCTCCGCCGGCCAGGCCCGAGTCCGCCCCCGATGGCGGCAGGCGCCTCTTTAATCTCACTGCAGGTGCGCGCCGTAAGGGATGGTGGAGGAATGTTGGGCCCCCAGGCCCTGAGTGCGACGCACAGGATCCCGCGAGAAAAGCTCGGTTTTTGATGGCTCAAGAAACGAGGAAGCACATTGACATCCAGAGCTTTTGTTTCCTTTTGAACTCTTCTTTTGGAACTATTCACAGGTTATTTAGCGGAAACGGAAACTTCGAAACATCGGAGGTCTGGTCCTCTCCGGGCATAGCTGGTTGTCATCTTTGCTGAGGTCGAATGAAGGCACCATCGGATCATCCCATGTTATTCCCCATTTCGCCAAGCACTTCCCACCCACTGATGTTTGAGGCGGGATTGGTGATTAAATGTGATTAAGACCCTGTGCAGAAGTTCTATAGTCCCTGCAAAAACATCTTGCGGACAGACACGTAACGTGCTGGTGTAGACTTAGCAGGCAAAAACGTACTCGTTCTGAGTTCAGAAGCACCAGTTCCATTCAAACAAATCCCTTGTCACGACGCCCCAACATTCACTCCCCAAACGAAAGAACCAACTCAAGCAATTCCCCCCAGACCAAGCACCCAAGCCGCCAACCACCCAGCCAACCATCTAGTTCACACAGGGTGGCACCTCTTAGTCACTGACTTTGACAATACCTGACAGCTACAGCTGTGCAGGACGCTTTCGCCTCAGCAAAAAACGAATTCGCGCTCATCACTTCCAAGTGGCTCATCGCAGCAGAATGGCTGGGTGGGTTCGTTGGTGTCGCTGTTGACACCTCGCAGTTGGCTCTCGCGACAATTCAATTCGTGGCACCATGCGAGTCAACGCTGACTGCGCCACTTCGAGTGATGGACAGTGAGAAGAACCAATGCCAAGCGGGCCAACAACACCAAAGATTAGCTTGATGTGTCGCATGTCTGGAAAGAATTGCAGCTCTCAGCTTGTCATACGTTGGGTTTTGAGGCTTGAACCTATCAAAATGGCATTGCAAAAATTGTTCAACAACACCCTCTAGACACCAAGCAACAAAAAGAAAGCAATATCCAACTATACATCCCAACATGTACGTCGACTTGCAGACATGTAATACCATGTGATTGAAACATATTAGGAAAAAACTACATTCATTCAAGCAACAAAAACAGGGAAAACATGCTGCGTGCGCCACGCTCGGATGGAAACACTGCTCACCCTGCAGGTGACTGTGCCGGCGTTCGTGGTGGAAACCCTGTGGGAGCAGGCGATCGGGCGGCCGATAGCCAATCTGATCCGGCTTCAACACACAAAAACCACTCAACACATGTCAGCCAGCTGAATTTCCGTTATCAAGACTCGCGAACAACTCGTCCACCCATCCCATGATCCGAAGATGGTGCCAACTCGTCCGCGTGGCATTGGGAGTCTTTCAGAGTGGCTGGAGGACATGGGAACCTGAATCGCCGACACTGGTGCCCGGTGGCGGTCAGCACTGAGCGACCCAAAGGACTGAGAACCAAGCGACTGAAAACAATCTTTGTCTCTACAAATTCGGATATAATGTTTCCATATTTTTTGCTTTTTGAAGCTTGACCTGAAGCTTCCTTCGCTACAAATAAAGCACTCGTTTTGCAAAAGTGCTCGTTCAAGCAAAAAGCGCTACAAACACTCAAAAAAACCACATGGATCCCTCTCATATCCAACCCATGTTGGGGTTCTTCGCCACTTTTCAATTTGCGCTCGTTTTGCTGCAATTTGTGCGTGTTTCGCGGCATTTTGCGTGCATTTTGCGGGTGTCCACCTTTGGCCCAAGAAGACTTCAGTGTTCAACATCTTGACACAAATGCTCGGTTCATCAAAAACATTAAAAAGTGCTCGTTTCCTTTAACAGGCTACGAAACTACAAAAAGTGCACATTTCCTTGGTTTGCCAGAAAGAAGTGCTACGATTGAAGGTTCAGGGACAATTGCATTATTCTTGTTGTCCACGTCTTGACCGACAGAAAGGATACTGCCTGCTACAAATTGCGTCATGTTCTTAAATTTCAACATATAAATAGACTTGATATAATATAATAAACAATAAATATGTCATGGTTCCATTGGCCGCATGGAAATATCGTATGCATAATATACTTATACGTCAAAACTGAGGGAAGATAGTTTTAGTTTTCCACTGTTTTCCTGCACCTCGAGTTGCCCATAACCCAATAATCACTAGATAGGATCTTTACAGGGCTTTTCATGTAAAAATTCCCACACCCCAACCTTTTTGCCAAATTGGATTGGATCTTCGAAGCTGTCAAGGTTGCTGCTCGTAGACCCTGTCTACCCTTCTTTGTGCATGTACAAACCACATATGCTTGTGGCCCGACTTTGGGGTTTCGTGGTTCCAAACAAGTAGAAACATACCCAAACATCCCAAACTCGGGGATTTCAGCACAGAATCCTCGATCCAAATTGGGAAATTCGGAGTCTGGTTTCGTTTGTCCAAGCACCCACCGCTGGATCCACTCGCGTCCCGGTGCTGATTTAACAGAAAAAGCGATCTGAACTTCTTCATGGTTTGAAGGAACGAAAGCTCTAGGGGCGAGTCCAGCATGAAAGCACAGCTAAGTACAGCAAAACCAAAACGAAGGAACCACAGATTCGTCTGCCACAAATTCACAGATTCCTTCAAGTGACCAAGTGTCGCTGAAAAAGAACAACCACGACCACAAACAGCTTCTTCACTGTGACACTTTTGGAGTCCCTAAGTGAGGCCCAAGTGACCTCACACTGGGATATCTAAAGGTCAATTTGATGAACCAGGGACATGCTGTTCGAGTTGGATTGTTTTTGTTATATCCAATCCAAGTGACTCCTTGGCAATACAGGCCTTCTTTCCGCCCTTCTTCTCACCCAGGACTTCATAGTCCGTGGCACACTGCACCTGGCACAGTGCCATGGACGACTCCCGGTGGGACGGTGGCGCCTCAACGGCCCGGGCCGTGTGCGCCGTCGCGCCGTCCTTTCAAGGCAAACACCCCTTCCGACCCGAGGATGTTCCGTTGGATAACCATTACAACCGACACGACCGTGAACCGACATGGTCCAATCGACCGTCGACCGGTGGGTTCGGACCAAGGGTATTTCAGCTCAGAACGCGACCGCCCAACGTGTAGCACAAGCGCTTGATGGCTCTACACGGAGTTCCAATGATCGAACAAATGATTGATCGACCCTGTTTCAATGATAGTACTGCTGCAAACAATTCTAGGTTTCTACAGTTTTGCCTTGTGATAGGCCAACCTGTGTTACAGAATCTCTTGGTCATTATTTCCGTCCCCCATCACAACAAAAAAAGGCCGCCGCATACCAATCCTCACGCCTCGCAGTCGCAACTGGGTCCCTTCTTTCCCGGTTCCACGGCACTGCACATATCTGGGCGCACGTACTCGAGCGGAGCGGGGAGCGGGGAAGCGGATCGTCGACATGGGACGATCGACGTATGTTCAACATGTATCCAGTACATACCACGTCGATGTCAGGTAGTGTATTTCCTGAGTTTGTGATGTCAGGTAGTTCAGAGATTGATATACATGCAGGGGTGGGGGTTGTCATTGAGCCTTCGCAGTTGATAGACAAACAAGTTACAGTATGTAGAAGAGTTACAAAATGTTATAAGCTTGGGACTGTCTGATTTGCCAAGGGATCCATTCAACTTGGTCGTCTTTGAATCGCACTTATCCATGTTGGTTGATATCACGATTCATCATGCGTTGCATACTTGATGTTGACTCTGAACAGCAGGGAATGACCAAGTTATTGTTCCTTCTAATGATACAAACCTAGCCAAGGCAAGAATCTGATCGTCTGATCATAGATATTGGGCTTGAGAGTCTAGATCTATTGCTGAAAGCCTTACTGATCCAGTGTTCTAAACCAAACCCAGTCAAGTCACTGCATTTGGTGAGATGCAAACTGCCCTTGTGCTCTGGCGCCAAACAGAACGGCTTCTGCGGCATCGTCCTTGGCAGGGCTTCCGGTACCGGTACAGAGGTGCCATTCTCCAGTCATGCCACCTTATCAAAGTATTTGGAACCGACGAATCGTCACCCTGAAACATCCATCACCAACCTCTTTGAGGGGATGTGTAGATTTGGATGTGTAATGCGCCAGTGCAGTGGCGTAAACATCCTAAGTCCTAAGTTAACCGTTAACCAATTTGCGGGGGTGTGTTGCCAGCAGTGTTTTTCCTAGCAGAACTCAGCAATGGTTGCCAGTGGTATGTGCCCCAAGTGAATGGGTACCTACAGTGGATGAGTGAGTCCGTACGAGAGAGAGAGAGAGAGAGCGTGCTCTCTAGAGGGTTGAGATTGCGCCAACGGAGGACTTACTTCAGGCAAACTTTAACACAAGAAAATCAACTCAAACAAAACCAGGATGATGCTCGGCATTGTTCGGGATTGCTGGGTGCTCCCATGTGATCCCAAAAGCAAAAAAGTAGAGTAGACCACTCAAAAAGGTCCATCAATCCAGGGACAATGAATCCCTATGGCTCTATAGACAAGTATAGTATATAAAAATATATAACTTTGTAAGATTCCCCAGGTTATCTAATATACTCAGAGTCCATAGGAGGATCTCCTCATCCTCAAATCCTGGCTCTTCCCCAACCCACTCCCAGTGGCGATGGCAGGAAGTCGCAGCGTGGCTCTGGAGACCACTTGCCCTCGTGAGATTGGCTCTCCGCACCTCATCCAAGGCCACTTGCAACGCCAACAACGAACAATCGGGACATCGTCCAATGTTTCCCGTCGCCAGGAGCTGTTTGACTTCTGTGCTGAACAGTTCGTTGAACCGATTTCTTCCGCAAAAGTTGTTCGCTTCATGAACAATTTCATGATGAGCTTCATCCCACCAACAGCCACAAAAAGGGCTCCGTCATCCAGCCCCTGAACACACACTGAGCGTCCAAGGCACACTCGCTGGAGCCGGTGGCCTCGAAGCCCGTGGGGCACTGGGGCGTCACCGTCTCCCCAAGAAATCCCACGGCGTTCGCTCCGTTCAGCTGCTTCAAGGGGTATTTGCCATTCACCGGGCAGTAGCCTCGATGTGTGCCGCGAAATGCCACGATTCTCCGTGCGCTTTTGGCGTGCGGTGCGGGAAGCTCAGGAGGGTTTTGAGAATCTCGGTTTGCAAGGATCCAATAGTGGACGTCGACGGAAGAAAACGCTGCAACCATTGCAAAACATGTGTTTAACAATTGTTTAACAATATAACATTAACACGACATCATAATAGACAGTTGTGCCCCTGAGCTCCTTGCTCATGTCAGGACGTGCTAGGATGTCTTACTTCAACATACTTCAACCAAACTCTCAGATTCCTTCAGGTTCAGTAGTCTTTGGACGGCTACCGACGATGAATGAGTGGCAACTCCTCTCAGATTTGACCTTGCTCATAAAAGGCCGCCTGAATCAAACACTGTCATGCCATGAAAAAATGCAAATTTGACAATCCGATATAATCCGACAATCCTTCACTTTTTGGACGGAGGAGTCAGGACAGCCTTAATAAAACCTTTGGGGAGCCCAAGAAAAATCTCAAGCCTCTCGCTTCCAGCCACTTCCATCCACTTCCTGGCCACCTCCTTTCGGTCCATTCGCCACGAAACCTGAGATTGGCTTGCACTCGCCCTCGTAGTTGAAGGGCCCTCGCCATCCACCAGATCCCCCAAGACCGGCCACGGGGCGCGATGCTCGAGGATAGACACTCATGTTCACCGGAAAGAAACATAAACACCCAAAGACGGCGGTCATGTGTTCACAGTTGTACAATAGTTCAGTTGATAGTCCAGTGGTTGCTCATTCAGATTCAGCGCCAGGGATACAAAGCCGCAAAGCATCCATATTCGAAGCATCCAATCCCTTCTACTACTCTCTGGTGGTCATCCATTCAGTGGTCCACCGCTCTGCGACCCCATCGCTCTGGTCCACCGTGGCCCGGCTCCTCTGCTGGGCGTCTCCTGAAGACCGGGAATCTTCAGGTCTCCCTCATAGCCAAGTGTACCTCGGCGAAAAACCAACGACGGCGTGTCGACACGACATGTGAGGTCCGCTCACGCCTGGTGAGGGCTATGGTGATGGCGTGATGGCGTGGCCACCCCTGCAGTTCAAGAGCTAGGTGAGCGGACGGGGTGGACCGTAAGAACCAACCATTCTTCGCGCGGTCAGGTCTTTCAGAGCCGTCTTGGAGTGCGAGAATCACTGTGACTCAGGTTGCAAACGCATAATAATGCTTCTTTGGGAGGAAACTTGTGGAAGCGTCAGCATAAAGATGGCCCAAATCCTTCGAGGTCAGTTGGTTGGTCACTTTCGGTCTGCTTGGCTCTTTCTTGCCCCAAAAAGGACGACCTGGTCCATCCCGCCGACCTTTCCCGCCTGTCTGGTGGGAATACGGCGGACGTGGACCGCGACGATCCAGGCTAGGCTATCCCCGAGGGGTTGAAGCTCAGCCAGTGACGGCTGAGCCAACACTTTGGATCAGTAACGGCTGTGGAAGGTACCTCGACAGGGTATGTTTCTCCTGTGGCTCACAGTAGTTGCATTGGGGGGTTCCACCCGCTTGGAGATCTGACTAAAACCAGGCCATCCAATGCTCCAACACGGCAGCGTTTGCTCCAATGAACCAAATTCCACCAGGCTTTCAACGCATGATTCATACAGTTCATTCTTCAGTCCTAGCTAGACTAGACAGCACAACTTCAGTGACGCAAGTTTCTGGTGGAGTTTTGATACTGAACCAACCCGACAGTCTCCGCTATATCCATTGAATGAGGAAACCAAATTGTTTGGAAGGACAACTCTGGGCATCCTTCCTGTTGTAGGTGGGTGAAACAACTTCGGCAACACTGCAATCTTTATTGATAGTGGGTGAAGCCCGTTCTGCCCTTCCAGCAGTTAGAAGGAAATGCCGCCAAGGGCACATTTGCATTTCCAGTGGTCCTTCTCCTCCTCCTGATGCCAACAATTTCAAGGGGATTGGGAAGCAACACTGGAGAGAGGTGATCTCAAATCAAATCTGCTGTATATATATATAAAATACATTGATAGAAATTGTGTGTTGCAAACCTTATTAAATATCCATCATGTATTCAAGGAAGGCTAAATGACCATGGACGTCCAAAAGCCTTCCTCGGGCTGAAATATGCTGAAACCTCCATCAGGGGTGTTGAGAGCCGCCCAAGTGATACGTTACATTGGGTATATCCCACTCCCTGTGACAATGGATGATGGTTCAGTTGCAGGCCTTTCTCTACAAAGACCTTTGATCGACTGTTACAGGCAAGAACGGACAACCGGAAGTCCTACATGCCTTGAGAGCAACTTGCACCAAGAAAGGAGCATCAGATTCGTCCAACAAATTCATGGACAGGCAGGCAGCCTTCGACTCGAATAGGAATTCCCTGTCTGAGACAATGTTCCATTCACGTGAAACAAGTGTATCCAACAGTTCTTCCATGTGATGAAGAACCCGTTGTTTTTGAAGCACGTCTCAACTCGTGCAACTGGTTCTTCCAACATGCTCATCCCAGATCCATCCATCCCTGGGGCAGCTTGGACCCTCAAAGTAAAATCTCAAATATATATATATATAATATATATATAACATAAATAATATATAATATATATTGTATATATACCTCGTCTTAAATCGGGCCCAAACCTTCCAGCTACTATCCTCATCGGAACTGCATCTGCCTCCGCCCCCGGAGACCGCCTCTCCACCCGCCGGTTGCTCGGTCTCCACCGGCGCCGCGGCGCCTTGCACAAGTTGGGTCGGTCTCCACAGCGCGCGGCGTGGCTAGGGCAGTCGGGGAGCATGAAGGCCTCGGTCAATGTGTTTTCTTTCTTAGTAACAAAGGGCATCGCTACTAGGAGCAAGAAGCTACTAGGGGCTCCTGGCCGTACTACTAAGGAGCATTCTTACTACTAGTAACAAGAAGCTACTAGGAGCAAGGGCATCGCTACTAGGAGCAAGGAAGCTACGAACGTAGCTCCTGGCCTTACTAGTAGTAACAAGAACTTTCTAGTGAAAACAATTGAAGAATGCAATTGTTTGAGACTCTTGTAGGTTTTGTCATGTTCCATCAGTTGTGTACAGTCTTTGAGAGGCGTAAGTCATACTTGAGAGAGGAGGGGGTGAACGAAAGGTAGCAGGCAATCACAAGTAACCCTGGTAGAAGTCCATGACGGCGTGAACTGGCGCAGGGGGGATTTGATCCGGGGGGGGGGGGGCCCCCCCCCCGACGAACAGAATCAACTCTTACAGGACCAAATTCAATGCACAATCCCAACTCCTGATTGTAATACATTTTTGCTAAAGCAAGGAGAACTCAGGTAGCTCAAGCTACCTTTCGTGATATGAGTCTAATATAGGGGTTGACCACTGGGTTGACCTTGCTCATTCCGATGGTGTTTGGAATAGTGGTTGCAAACATCAAGGGCCCTTCCGAGTGACTGGCCCAGCTCACCTGCAACATCCAAACTCCATGGGCTTTAAGCTAGATGTATTCTGACTGGTTGCTAGATGCATTCATGGGCACTCGTTGCCATCAAAGACCTGCAGCATGGCCTCATGAGCTCTTTTTGGGAGGTACACCCAGAACTCAGAGGCAAGTCAATAAGGACCAACTTGGTTCACCAAATGGGTTCAGATATACCATCATACCAACTCCCAATAACCACAAAGGAATCAGGGTTTCGATTTAGTTGTTTGGAACCATAAATAGTGAATGCTGGAACTGTATGGATAGATGATTTATAGAGAGACAGAACGGCAGCTGTCCCTCAAATCATGTTCAATGGGGCCTCATGTCAGTGCGGCCTCGGGGAGAGTTCTCCAAACTCGATCTTTTGGGCTGGGAGAGTCTCGACCCCTGACCCTTTCAGGACAAACATTCGCCAAGGCACACCCTGAATGCTGGTGCTGGAAAATTTCTTCCTCCAGTTGCAAAAGCTGTTGCGGACCTCTTTGCCTCGGTCGACTCCAAACGGGACCACCGATCGATCCCATTTGGAGTGCCCGTCGGGTCCCTGAACACCTGGGAGGAGTGCCCTGCCACGGGGAGTAGCGAAAAGACATCGGATGAGAGTGCCCCTCACGGATGAGAAACCCTGGGTCTCCTTCGCTTCTCTAATGCTGGGGGTGGCAAGCTGACCAAACCTTTTTTTAACATCCACAAGACACGCCGGCAGGCCGGCGGATTATGGAACACCGGTTACATACTGTATTTGTGCAGTCGATTCTTGTCAGGGTGTGGTTTGAAGGCATGCATGTCCACGCATGTTCGTGTCCAAAGCCCGATTTTGAGATCTAAGGAAAAGCGATCCTGAAATGACAGGACTCCGGAGTTGTCGCTTGTCGCTTGTGTCATGTGTCGGCATGTTTGGGCAGTTTCCCCCGCACCCACATAGCTTCTCGGACAATTCACAAGTAGTGGTTTATGATGCCAGCCTCTCACAAAGACTCAAATGGCCAAGAAAGGAACGTGTGGTGGTTTGTGTGGAGTTTTGCCTCTCTCTCTATATAATATATATATATATATTAGCTGTTTGACTTCGAGTGGATGCTGCAAAGGCATTCTGCAAGCATGCGTTTCTCGTTTCTCTACATGCTTATGGTGATGTGTTTGGAATAGTGCCAAGGCACCATGCCCTTAAGCATAGTTTCAAGATGTGTCAAGGGACGCAGTCAGCAGTCGGGAAGGCGAAAAACCGAAGGTGCGGGCCGTATATTTTACAACGTCGGTCGTGTATACGCTGCACAAATCTGGTCACAAAATGCCAAAAACCTCCATCAAACGTATCCGTAGCCGTAGATGGGTGGAACATCTGGGTGTCATTAAATCCCTGTGATCCTGGATCTCATGTTTCCTTGCAACTTTCTGCGCATCTTCTAACTTCTAACCTGACAAACGGCTTCATGCTGCACCACTGAACGAACACACATTCGATTGCTGTTTTTGGACAAGATGCATTAGTGACCCAAACCAGTGTCAGCCAAGAATAAACCAAACACCCATGGATGAACACGCACCAGAATCCCACCACAAGGCCAGCATCTGTTCCGCCCACCATCACGGCTGTCGCCCCCAACCGCCACGCGTTATCACGACCACGTCCGCCGAACCCCAACCGCCTCGGCGACCGAGCCACTGGGGTCTGATCGGTCGACGGCGGAGGCGCCCAGAATAATGATGCTCTTGGTGCCCAAACCCGCTTTCGATGCCATCTGGCCGAAGGCGAGACGTGGGTGCCCGAACGGGAACGACGAGGAGGGCGGTGTTCCAGCGGCGACCGAAGGCGAGACGTGGGTGGTGGTCGAAACGGGTTGAAACATGTTGAAAAGATGTTCCTGGACCCTGCAAAGTACCTGGGATACATGACTGAGATGACCCCATTATAAAAAAGAGATGCTTGTACTCACTTTGCGAGGTACCTTTGACACTCCAGGTTGAGCTGCTCTTGCAAACTTGACATGACATGAAGTAGGACGCAGGAAAACGTCTTCGACACCTTTCATAGTCTCTCCACTCCACTTCATCCGAGTTTGGGAGCCGAGAGTTCATCCTGTCACGACGGAGGGACAGAGTCCGACTTCGACAACCAAAAAGGCCTCCATGGCCAGGGAAGGGTACTGCTTAGCGACGTCCAGCGCACGCAGGAAGCCGGTGAGCAGCTCCTCGACTTGCAGATCGAAATTGAGGTGTTCAAAGATGTTCAAAGCCATCTAGCGGAATTCGGATTCCATGCTGTGTATTATGATGTCCTGCAAATCCCACCCATGAACACCGCTGTGGAAGTGCTGGCTAGAACATGCTAGAACTTTTACTGAACAGTTCCAAAACACAAGTCACATTGCAGTCGCATCAGGATTGGTCCTTGGCACCCCAAAGGATTCGACCCACTCCAACGCGCCTCGTCTTGACTGTCATAGTCCCGGCACAGGAAGCGGCCAAAGGCGCGCGCGGAGCAAACGTCGGTGTCCGGAAAGTCGTACTTGGAGGCAGGGATGATTGGTGTGATCAAAGGAGGCCAAAGCGCAGAACAAATGAGACAAGTGGGCTTGCTCGGGGAGGGCTCACTACTGAGCCTGCAGGACTTGTCAATTAGTTCATACCATATTAAACAGTATATTAATTGCAAGCTCAAGCAAGCGTCCTAGCGTCCAAACGTGGGCCCCGTTTGGTCTTGGAAACCGGGACCCAATCCACATTCCAAGGCTGCCCACGTGTGGTCGAGCTGGTTTTGCTACTGTAGGCCGGCTCAAAAACCGCGAAAACGGTATCAAATGGTATCAAGTATCACAAAACAAAGAAGCAAACAGCCAATTCCACCCGAAGCCAAGTTGGTGTGTCTCAAAATCTAACGCCTGCACAAACACCTCATGATGGTATTGAAGGACAAAAGACGGGGCCAAATTTCCAAATTTCTTTCACCGGCTTGAACGGATCAGTTCATACCTGATCTGCGGAAACCAACTATATATATGGAAAAATACAAGAAAAAGGATCTCTAATGAAGACTCTTGAATACATATAAATGAGGCTTTCCAATTCAAATGGGAGGGTTTATTAATCAAGAGTCTACATTACTCGTCGGGTGCGGAGAAACTTCGACGCCACTTCTTCCGTCCTCCCGTCCGGCGCCAGGCGACGCCGAACCAGGTTCGCTCCAACGGGCTCCGTTGCCCGTCGATGTTATCCTTGAAGGGCTCCTGCGGAGAGCCCCGCTCTCGAGGTCAGGGATATCGTGTCGGGTCTTCCCTTCGACGGATGAGATGATGAGAGGGATGCTTGGAAGGATGCATCGATTCTCTCGAAACAAATAAGACGGAACAAGAGGTCATTCGGCCTTTCACCAGCGATAGGTCCGATAGGGTCGAGCAAGTAAATTACAATGAGGAAGTCTTAAAGAGCTATATATATATATATTATAGTACTATAAGCTTAATCTTTAAACCCTGTGGGTATATATGAGTATATGTACTAGGTATATCCCGTTCCCAGTAACAGTGGATGATGATGGTTAGTAAAGGCCCTTTCCCAAAATAGTGATAATCGTTTACCTCCTGCTACTGGTAAAGGGCTACACCCTGAGTATATAACACCAGGTCTGTCTTTGAAAACAGGACTCCTTGAAGACTCCAATTGGGTCGAGCCCATGGAATCGAAGGTCACCCGGTCTCGAAGGCGATCACAGGCGTTCGACAGAGGGTGCATGCAAACAAGTGACCCAATCCCCAATCGGGACGCCTGTGGAAACCTTGGGTTCTGGACCATATTTTAGCGGGAGACACATACATGTATTATACATGTATCATGTAATGTCATTCTGCAGGACCGGACCTATGAAGACCTCTCAGTCTCAGGACCTGTGAAGAGGTGACAAAAGAGACAGAGACTCAAAGAGATCACGGTCTGACTCCCGCGCTGGTCTGTCCCTTGAACATGAAGGTTAACCATGTAACCATGTTCATTATTTTTTTCATCTATTGAAATTTAGTGGGGAAACCCAATCCCCAAATAAGGTAGTAGGCACCTTTGGTCATTAAATAGATGTTATTAGTGATGCTTGCCAATGCCGCAAAGCCGTGTGAGCTGCGGGAGGTACTGTAACAACTCCTCGATTTGGAAAACCCACTCAGTAAAATATTCAATCCCAAAGACATATTTCAGAAAGATGCGAGAATGTCGTGAGATAAGCCTTCCAAAACGATCCCCGTGAGCTTCAACTCTAGGACTTTGTGGGGTCCATGGCAAAACCGGCAGGGCGGCCAGGACCGTCCGGTTGATCAGCTCCTGAGTCTGCACCAGAATCTCTGGCGTCGCTGTGGGGCTGAGCCTGGGACTGGCACATCGGACATGAAGCAAGCTTGCCAGGAGCCCCGGCCCGTTCGTAGCTTCTTGCTCCTAGTAAGGCCAGGAACCCCTAGGAAGTGAAGTGACTTCCGTGTAGGCAGAACATCGAGACTCCAAACAGCTCCAAACACTTGAAGCAGGAGAGGTCCCCTCGGTTCTATGCCTAATGTGGCGCAATGAGACTGACACTTGAAACGCAAGAACCAACAAAGAGGAACCTGGTCTGATGTGAAGGTGTGATGCTTCAAGCGTCGCTCATCCACCCCATGCTTCAACCATGGAATATTGTCATGGCACCTGGAGCTCCAAATCGTAGGTGGACCGTGTCTGAAGGCGTCCCTTCTGTTCATCGGTGGAACCAAAACCCCCCAAACCCCCCCCGCGGTGGCCCCCCACGTCCACCCCCGGAGCGGCCCCTCCGGAGGAGTCGAGCTGCTTGAAGTCCTGGGAGTTCTTCAGCATGCTGCGCAACAAGGTCGCGAAGACCCACTTGGACGCCTGTCGCCGTTTCATGACAGTTTGGCTGGCAGTGCATTCAGGTGCGCGTGAGATGTTGGACAGGTCGGCCCCTAGTACGCTTGAGGTTCGTTTGAGTTCGTTTCAGTATCCAATCAAGGCCGCTGTGCTGTTTTTTGCCTTGAAGACCACGTTGATAGAAACTATTCGCCTTGAAACTTGACTGTCTAAATCCCGCGGATTTAGTCGAGGCGGATTTTTTCCATAATCAAAATGGACCATGCAAATCTAGACTTCCTGGCTCCCGATAAATTATATAGATTCTTTGGTAGAACTCCCCGACAATTAAGTTCTTTAGTAAAACCTCCCGACAATTCTAGATTCTTTAGTAATACCTCCCGACAATTAGATTCTTTAGTAAAACCTCCTGACAATTAGATTCCTTAGTGAACCCCCCCGACAATTAGATTCAGATGCGTCATCCCAAATCAACCAAAACCGCGAAACAAAAAAACAATGATGAAACCGGAAATGAAATTTCTAAAGGTTACCCCCTCCCCCGATTTCTAAATCAAGGGGGGGATCTTTTTGGTTTCTGCCGGTTTCCGCTGGTCACAACAAAAAAGCGCCGTCTTTGGAAAAAGACCGCACAACGGATATTTTTCTTGAACAGGCAATCATTGGTGCCGTTTCGAAGGTCCAGGTATATGTCTGGGTAACCTGACAAATGGTTCCACTGGTTTCACAAATTGCGACAACAATTCAAGTGTCAGAGTGACCAATGGCTCCAGCGTTCTCCGATGGCGCGTCGGACCATGAGAGAGTGTAAGTATATATTAAGTTCGGACATGTCAAACTTGCACAAACGACTGCGCAGCCAAAGCGCAATGGTTGACATCACACGACGTCACTGTGAAAGAAGCACAAAAAGGATCAAAAAGGAGCGCTGGAGCCAGCGCGCGGTTTTTGTAGCGGAGACCAGGAATTGGAAGAACCCTCAGAGATGCTGTAGCATGCTTCCATTTCAGTTTTTCAAACATTCACAACAACCATGTGATGTGTACTATAATTATGTGGGCACCAGCACCACCCAAAGGATGGCTATTGGAAGGACCCTCGTCAGGGCAGTCTTTCAACCACCCTTCCTGGTCGTACCCCTCGTTCCCCTTCCCGTGCTGCGAGCGTTTCGCAGCATTTCAAAGCCTCATCCTTGAGTTGCTTCTTCTCCTCATCGCTGGGATTCGCATCTTTGGGACCCAACTTCCCCAGGATCGTCACTTCCACCTGGCGAAGGGTCCACTTCTCGTCTCTGAAGGCGGGGAGAACCTCCCCCGCGCGGGGGTTCCCCGCGGACCGGGAAAACGGGAGCCGAGACCGGAGCCAATCCAGCACTCCACATTTAACTGGTACACTGGTACACCTACAGCAGCCCCAGAGACAAATGTCATGTCTTTTTGTTTGGGCGCCACGGGGGTAGCTGGGCACAAACCCCCAATGAGCCCTCAGGCTCTCAAGAGATCTGTGCCGCCTCAACCTCCTGAGAAGGTACCCGGCAAAACCTGTTTGTTAGTTTGTGTTTGCTTTATAAATCTATAGTGACCACTTGAGTCAGCCTCCATCGTGAAACTGTTTGAAAGGCTCGACGAAAAACAAGAAACGTTAATGTAATGAACAAACAAAGTTCCGCCAGCTCACTCAGTAGATCGACAATTGAGCCTGCCCAGGAAAAATAACTCAGAATGGATCATCCCCAGTACTTTGCCGTTGCAAGCGTTATGAAGGAAACAATCGGTCCGTTGGTTTGTTTGGACCAATGCCACGCGATGCCCGCGATGCCAGCAACAGAACCGAAGGTACACCGCCTCAAAGAGCAACTTTTCGCTGCAGTCGGCGCTATCAACTGCGAACAAATCCGGTGAAGGTGCAACAAAAACAAGGAATCCGGTGAAATCGGAGCACGTGAGAGTATAAGGCTATGGCTTGCAAGTTGAGTGTCTGTCTTTCTAGAATTTGGTGTGTGCATTATACGCATGTGGAGGGCAATGATGTCAAAGACCTATCTCTATCCTGAACGCTTGAAACATGTCTGCCTCATTAATGTGGACCCAAACAGCAGGGGTTTGTTTCATCAGCACAAACAACGCCCACCAAATCAAAACACTGTAATATCTAGAGGACAAAACACTTGCATTTTCCTTGATATGTTTTTCTTGGAGGAAAACATTTGGTTCTTAAGCGGCCCAAACAATGACGTGTTTAACCCTCCAAAAATGAGGATGCAAATGGCAAACAAACCGATGAAACA